AGAGGAGTCGACTGGGCCAGGGTCGGCTTGTTTCCGTAAGGAAACCCACATGTTCGCGGTTGGTTATCGAGGTATTCCGCAGGTAATCGCTGCTCACTCACAAGAGCCCCCCTTCGGCGCTTCGCAATGGACCGCTCAGTCAGGTGGGATTTCGCAACCGATTTTCGTATTCGGGACTGGTACATGGACTACGCGATATCATGTCGACATATCTATTTCGCAATACTAACGATCATATCCTAATGAAAATCAACAATTATCTCCAGTTCAGGGATAGGAATACATTCAGAAGCAGCTCGGGTAGCCCGGAGATCTGTCCCGCTGTCAGTATGCGCCTGCCCTTCTATACGACTCTACCGCGGCGCCAACGATATCCAACACCAACCTCGCAGATGACTGAATAAGGACCAAGACAACGTTTAACGTTCTTACACTTCATCGTGTCTACACTACAGACAACTAGGTCGAGCCTGATACGGACTACAGTGAGAAAACCCTGCTGTTGGTGCCAAGTTGGCAACCTCACCGTCGCGAATAGGTAGAGCTGCGACAGGAAACTCTCGCCAATCGCAGTCCGTGCCTACGATATCTCTTGTGGTCCCACTGATCGTCCCATGTACACGTCTACCACTCGTTTCTGTATCACATCGATACCACCTTGTGATATTTTTCTTTCGCACTGCTTCCTTTTGCCTAGGCCGATAATCGCACAGGAGCATCCGAACAGATAACATGAAAGCACCCATATCGTTCACAATGCAACACGACGAATCCGTCTCGCCTCCGCGTGACATTCCGCCAAAGATGAAAGCCCAATGTATTGTACGTTGCAGATATGTCTCGGAGATCCATCCCCTCTGATTCCATACTCTTGGTACACTCATAGCCCTTGTTGGTGCAGAGCATAAGACCAACACCGAGTGGGCAGTGGCACACGTGCATCGAGGAACACGACTATTGCTTCACTCGTGTTGCCACCAAGAAAATAGGTATGACGCCCGGAGGTCGTCGACGCGTCTGCCGAACAAGAGAAGTTTCATGTCAACGTCGCTTTTTTCTAAAATGCCAAAGAGAGAACAATTAATTCCTAGCAACACTACATTTGGGTTCAAGTGCCCAGCTACGAACCACGTCCACCGTGCTACCGACTAGCCCGCGAACTGTGTCCCGAACGTTGACCGACTTGCCGTAGCCGACTTCGGAATGGTGACCGGCTCGCCGAACAAGTTGGCGACACAAGCCCCAAGCACGACGTCGATGTTGCCAAGCGAAGCACGTAAGTAAGTTTTTTTTGCCGCTCCCGTGGACTGCTGACCACGCCTCCTGCCCGAAACATATAACCTTCTACGTACGACTTCGGAAGCTGGATACTGCAGTACAATCTATTCGAAGTGAGAGACCTCCATTTTGCCGTCTTCCTAGGTAGTAGTGTCGCGGTTGGTTGATGCCTTGATGAAGCAGCCACGGAACGGAAAATCAAAGGGTTTGGTACACCGACATGGTGTACGCGCCACCGCACATCTCGTCTGAGTTGCCCGAGCAGGGCATGTCGCAGACGCTGAAGCCGTTGGCATCGTAGTCGACGTTGTCGCCGCACCAGCACTGTTTCATGCAGCGGCATGAGTATACAGGGGGCGCGGACAGGAGTAGATTGAATGGGTATGGTCAAGACACTACGGCAACACGAATCATTGCAAGATTCGTCGAATCAATCTCATGCTGACGACCGTGGTCACCCAAATCCCACGAAAGCGTTAGACACGTTCCACATGCCACTTGTTGTTGATCAGTACTACCCGTTGGCCACGTGAACAAGAGGTCATACCTCTTGAGAATACTGGGTTCCATAGTAGGCCGAGCCGGTGCAGAGCGTCGCGCAGAGCTTGTCGTTCGTTCATGTACGTGTGCACACGAGAAATGGTCGATTGCCCGGGTAGTGAGGGGAAGAATAGTTAGAACCCAATCAAAAGGGAGACACGTCGAGGAGCGGGGGATATTGGCAACGAGTTGGGTGCATGAATGAGTTGACAGTTCCTGTGCGAGGACCAACGGGGAAACAACAACAACAACAACAACATTGCAATGTAACGAACACAAAAATCAATAGTTCATGTTGATCGACACTCTAGACCCAAACAAGCTAGCGACGTTTGGTCGGCGCATCGCTCACCTCTGCGGTCATAGCGGAGGTAGAACTCTCCCACTCGAAAATGCGGTCGTCGGCGGGGTCCGAGAAGCACCCAAGGTATGAGGGGTCCTGGGCGTAGACATCCATGCTGTAAGACCCCCCACATGTTTCATCCGAGTTGCCCGTGCAGGCCATGTCGCAGTCACCGACGCCGTTGACGGAGTATGGGGCGTTGATGTCACCGCACCAGCACTGGTTTGGAAAAGGGGTGGGTGAAGGGTGGTGCAAGCGCGGACCACGCGGTCTCGTGTTTGTTCATGGGGGGAAGCTAATGCCGGAAACAACTTTTGCACGAAAATGAAAGAGGTATGCAGATGGGTGCGATGATGGCGGTGGTCCAAGCATCTTCTTAGGAGAGCATGCGTACAACCGCGTATTGTTGACGAATGCCCAGGTGTGTTCTCAGAGGAACTCAAGGAGGTCATGCCTGCACGAAGCAACATATCCCGAGGGCGGCAAAGTGGTTGTTTCTTCTTATCGTCTGGCCGGGGCACCCACCGGACACGCAAACACTTTTGACGGACCTCGCCAATCGGAACAATGTTGGGCCGAAGCGCATCGACTATCAACGACACATCGTACAAAAGGAAGACGGGGGACTTGGGAAGGATGCATTTGTCCTCGCTTCGCCTGATACGGGCGGCACTGGTTTGCGTTCCTCGCTCTTTGCATTTCGACTCCTTGTTCCAATCGCTTGTTTACTAAACCCTGCCGGGCCGTCAACCTTCTGCAAGTTGCACTGGAAGTTAACGAGAAATAACATATGGTGCTGGCTCTTGTCTACACAACGGCAGTTTGGCGACAGCGCAGCTCGAGTTTCAGTTGGTGGGCACGACGATATACCCTCCTCTTTCAGCCGTTGGTGTCGGATAATTGCGCAATGCTGCCAACAACAACGATACAATCTGTGAGAACCATAAACGGACCAATTTGGCGGCATACTTGCCTTGGGTATTATTTGAATGGTCATCATGGGCCGCCAAATATATCCAGGCGGAAACAGACGCCCCTAGACGACTTCAGAGGTAGTTAGGCCAAACCATCGATTTGCCCCGGACTTTCTCAAATGTCTCAATCTTCACCGGTGTTTTCTTAGAGGATGGCGTTCTCATGGCGTGGCATGCCAATGAAGGGAAACCCGATACCCGCGGTACTGACCGCGCGAGCGCGTTTGCTCGCAGCATTCAGGGCAATGTCACACCACAGTATCCAGCACGAAATGAAATTGATCGAGACATGGACGGATTGTGCACATAGGCCAGCGAAAACGAAACTGTTGTCCAAGGCAGACCGAGAGCTACATCGCAGCCACCCAACAGCTACTTCCGCAAAAAAAATGTACACGGCGCTGTATCTATATGCTTGAACGACTTGGTTCGAACACGTGGTTGTCCATTGTTGGAAATAGCCAAACGTAAGATTTGAATTTTGCATCTGGCTACCTCAGCAACACCAAGATCGACATGGCCCTGCACGGCGGCGTGGAGACAGTCAACCAATGACGTTAGAAAGCCCGGCCATCATACTGCCACACGGCACTTGAGACAAGGCCGGCCGTAATTATTGACAACCGATCCGAACCCATCCGAATGGTGAGGGTTTGAGCCACAGATTCTGCTATCATAGTGCTCTCACCTCTGACGAGTACTGCGTTCCGTAGAAGGCCGAATCGACGCATTGCGACGCGCAGAACTGTCGTTTCGGGGGGATCGTGCGCGGTTGTGGGGATCGATCGACAGAAAGAGAGGCAATGAGAGATTAGGTGAAGGTCAACCGAAACAAATATAGAAGGGCAAGGTGCAATGACAGTGAATTGGCTTCCACGACAATTTCTAGAGCCTCTTACATTTGACGGGCGACGACAACGCGGCATCCAAAACGGAAATCATACAGTGTGCAACGCATCGGTAACTCCAACCGTAGCAGAGACACAACCCTAAGGACGTATGCGTAACCGAGCAAACAAATGCCACCTAGACACGATTTTTGTCACTCTCTCCTCACCTCGGCGGTGTTGACGCTAGACGCTCCGTTCTGCTCGAAAACGCGGTTGTCGGCTGGGTCGGAGTAGCAGCCACGGTACGAGGGATCCACAGTAGGGATGACTACATTGTAGTTCTGGTAGACACTCATGCTGTAGAAACCTCCACAGATCTCGCCAGCGTCTCCCGAGCAGAACATGTCGCACTCGCCGGCACCGTTCGAGTCGTAGTCGGCGTTGTCACCGCACCAGCACTGTTACGTTCGGCAGCATGGAGAAAGGGGAAGGGGAAAGAGTGCAGGGAGAGGCCTCATCATTACGTACATGACGTTGATATCTCAACGCCGTACAGTGTGCTAAGTGGGGTGGTGCAGCGTCAGGGAACGGTTGCCACAGTAGTAGCAGACCCAGAAAGATCTGGCTTGCACAAAAGCAGGCCTCATGAAACCGAAAAAGGTCGGGAGAAGCAACGAACGTCCATCCCAACACCTGTTCTATTGACCAAACGAGCAGAAGTGCTCGAGGACGGCCGTGGAACGACCGAACCAGTTCCTCCGCGATAGTGTACGGAAAGGGTGATTCGTAGCCAGCAACCGCTGAATTCTCCTACCAAAAGCGAAAAGCCAGCGAGAGCAGCTGACGGGTAGTCGAAAAACCCGGTTTTTCAATCGCCGGTGGATTGAGAGCAGCACACGTTTTCCAGGTCACAAGCCCAGCAGAAGGAAACAGACACATCCGCCAGTTGGTTTGTCCGACGCTTACGAAAACCACCGTATCATTTTGGAAACATTGATTCGCAGCGTGGCAGACCCGTTGTGTGCAAGCTACAGCGTGGCGAAGTACAGCGTACGAGAGGCCGGCCAGATTGGAGGTGCGTCCGTGGCTTGGGCGCAGTCAATTAAACATGGCCGTCGCCCCGATTGTTTAACGCCCACTTCATCACACACGATGAGGTTGGCACCACATTAGAGACGAATTATCCATGACTGTGCGCACCACATGCCCTGGAATCTCACCTGTGTCGAATATTGCGTTCCATAGTATTGGTACGCGCTGCACTGCTCCAAGCAGACCTGTGGTCGTGTGGGTCACATTAGGGGGATGCCAATCGTTGATCGACGGGAGACGATGTGGATTGTGTGTGGGGCGTCGGTGATGTGTTGGTCCACTGATGACCTCGAACGTTTGCGCGAACGGCGTTGCAACGACTTTCCACGAATGAGCAACAGTACCGTGAACAGAGTACAAACCAAGTGGCATAATCAAAAGGGCACATCGCCAGCTCAACCCAAGAGTCTGATCCATACTGGCATCGCTGGCTCACTCACGTCTGACGTCATGTCGTCCGAAGTAGCCACCAGCTCGAAAATGCGGTTGTCGGCTGGGTCGGAGTAACATCCATGGTAGTCGAGGTTGCCGTCTACGTCGTGCCAGCGTATGGACATCGCATCAAACCCGCCGCAGAACTCGCCGTCGGTAGATCCAGCGCACGGATAGTCGCAGACACCCGGGCCATTTTGCTCGTAGTCGGCCACTCCCTGATCGCACCAGCACTGTCTCCAATAGTGGTACACACGAACAGCGAGGCCAGAGCAGAGCGAAAAAGGGAGAGCATTTAGTCTTCACGAGGAGGGGCCGTCACCTGGGGATGATGATGGCCGGGCGAACTTTGGCAGACTGAGACATTACCCAGAAGCGCGGCACATTCTACCAGGGTTAGAAGAAACCCTCGGAATGCCAGGCGGGTCATGATCGTGTCTGCACCTACTCTGCTTCAAATCAAAATGTTCCCCCCATGCGTATGTTGGCGGTCTTGCAACCTCTCCCCTTTCGTACGACAATCAATCGCAAATTGGAACGCACTGGCGAAACATCTCTCTGCCGGGAAGTAGGTGAAGCACCTCAGGGTGTCTTTGCCACAGAGAAAGTAGCATATCCTGACCGAGACAGGGTCTCTCTTTCATCCGAATGCAACGGCAGCATTCAACCTCGAGGGATCTTCTTGGCTTTGGTGTTGAATGACGAAGTCGGAGTCCGCAACAACACTCCGGCATCGCACTCACTCTTTCGTTGCCGGAGGAAGGGACTGACTCTACAATCCGATTGCAGGTTATTGAATAAAGTAGATAAACACTCAGCTCACCTCAGTTCCATACTGCGTCCCATAATACGCGTAAGTGTCACAGAGGCCTTCGCAGACCTGCAGCGTGGAATACAGCAGGGCGTCGAATGGCGCATCATTTTCATTGGGTGAGCATTTGTCCATCAGCCGTGGCGCACAGGTCACATGGAAAAACGTAGGTTGTTGTCGACGAATGCTATAGGTACGATGTTGTGACGCTACAGCGGGATAATGGAGAGAGACTCGTCTGCCTAGTCACGGAGATCGTAAAACGTTCTTCTATCCCAAACTACGACCGCAGCACGCAATATCGTTTCCTGGCCTCATTGACTGAACTCATGATCGAATGGCCGGGCGATGACGAGAATCACACAGCCTTCTAAAAACTCCCATATTGTCCTTCACGTCCCAACAACGGCTTGACGATAAGATGCGCCACATTACGGTGGCCTCGGAGAGTGAAGACAATGCGCACAATGCCCAAGGAAAAGCCCGAACCCAACTTCAGGGCGTGGTTGTACGAACCCTATCGCAAATCTGTTCTACTGGTTCATCACCTCTGTAGTCATGTCGTCCGATGTGGCGACCTGGAGTACAAATAACCGGTAGTCCCCCGTGTCGCTCCAGCACCCAAGGTAATTGGGGTCGTTCGAGTAAACGGAGAGGGCGTAGGAGCCGCCACAAATCTCGTCAGAGTTGCCGGAGCAGGCCATGTCGCACACGCCGGGGCCGTTCTCGGCATATCCCACGTTGTCACCGCACCAGCACTGTTTTGAAAGAAACCGCGAAGGGTCCAGATAGGAGAAAGGGGGGTGGCCTGAGACGGGCGCAACACGTGTCGTGGTTGCCAGAGTGGCGTGAGGTGTTGCTCCGTACGCAGAGTGGGGTGAGAAAGGCAAGCGTGGCGGTAGTGGATGCGTCGACCTACGGTCCAGAAAGAACGAAACGAAAAGCGTTGTTTTGAATTTCAAGAAGGACTCGTTCATGCGTTGTTCCCGAACGCGAGGCGACCGTCCCACGTGACGAAAGCGTCTTTCGGTTTGTCAATACAGTCCGCTGTGGTGATGATCAAGAGAGAAACACTGATCTTCCATGTTGCGTGTAGCGCAAACGGAAAGTTAGCGTGTCAAGGGGCAAACAACCAGTCAGAAACGAGAAGGCACAACCAAACGTATGACTGTGCACGTGGTCCCGCACAGCCAACACTCAACAACAACAACAACAACGTCATCTTGATCAGCGTACGAACCCGATATTTTCAATTTTGATCATTCTTACCTCTGTCGAGTATTGGGTCCCATAGTAGTCCGACCCGGAACAGAGGTCGGAGCAGACCTGTCGTCCAAGGGTCGTGTGCATGAGTGGTCATACGATCGACAACCAGCATAGCGCAGCGCGGGGAGCAGTGATGGGCAGAAAGCAATAGAGCAACACGAAAGCGACTGTGAATGAGTGGACAACTCCTGTGCGACTGCCAACACGACAAACCAACGACAAACACCAACAGTAGGCACCGCAAAGAGCACCTTACATCTCACCTATAAACCTTCGCGCTACAACCAAGCACACACTTCCTAGCGTGCTTCCGCCCGCCGATCCGCTACTCACCTCTGCGGTCATTTCGGAGGAAGAAGACTGCCACTCAAATACTCGGTTGTCGGCAGGGTCCGAGAAGCATCCTAGGTAAGATGGATCATCGGACTGACCTGCTCGGTGAATAGTCAGACCGCGCGGACCTCATGAACTGAGAAGTAAGGACCAAAACCTACTGAAGTAGGTAGTCACACTTAGGGGCTGTGAGACAGTACGAAGCAACGGAGGGAAACAGTTTGCTTGCATGGACGGCGATGCCCTCTTGATGCTCAGAGGCGTCGTGAACTGCGTATTCGGAGTTTGTGCCTCATGCCTCGGGCTCTTCCTACTCTGAACTAAGATAGTGTAAAGTGACACGGTGGCGCCGAAGCCACAACGAGCACCCCGTTGATGGTACTTCATACTCCACGTATTTAGCGCAGGTCGGAATCATGTTGTCCAGAGCATTCAGTCTTGGCTGCGGGTAGAAGACGATCCAGCCTCCTCAGAATCAAAGCCGCTCCTGCAACCGTCGAGAACCTTCCGCTCTGGTACTGGCCGATAGTCGTTGAAATAATGGAAATGATTTGACGGCCGAGGATCTCACGAACGACCCTAGAACTCTGACTCTACCTTGTGCGCGTTCACGAGTTTGCAACCTTTCCCAGACCGCCCGGGCGCCCCTTTCGAGTCATTTTTGGTATGCATAGTAGCCACGACAAGTGACGACGTACCAAGACGCCATTCTCTCACCAATGACGACTCCGAGAAGGAGCGTCGGTAGCACCACCGAAAGGAGATGCATCTTGACCTCGAGATTGCTGAAAAGCTGACACCCTGATGCATTATTACATGTCCGACGTACACGGGGGGTTGGTTAGAAGGTCACCTGTAGCCGGTCTTGCAGGTGCTTTAATGTATCCCACGGACAGCAGTACAGGCCCGTGACAGTACTGTACCCCGACACAGCTACGCCACCACGGCGTCCGGACTGTTAGGCTCCTACGAGGCAGCAGGGCAAATGCCAGGCAGGAAGGAAGGCCAAACTTCGTAGGAATTGCCCGCGGTTTGGAGTGTCGACTACCTTCTCCGACCGCCAGCGCCGCACCGCTGTCTCCGTTCTGGGGGCTGGGTTGGGTATATACAGGTGAGATAGTCTATGCTGTCACTACGTGTAGGCAAAGCATTACGCTCACAGCAATTGCGTTGTTGGGGGCTTCAAGATGTCTATGCTGCTCGGGGGTGCAGACAGAGGGGAGAAGATGTGAGCTACAGGGCGAGGCGAGGGACTGGGCGGTATCTCTCGGAAAAACCACACATGCGATCTCACCAGCTCTCACCACCCGGTAAAATGCGGGAAAATTATTGTGGGCAAAACGTAGAGTAGGCAAATGTGAGCGTGCGCTCAAGATAGATGGCGAGGTTGCGTGTGTGTTGACACGAAGCCTGTTATGTCCGTCTACGGCACTTACATTCATGTCCTGGTTCATGTGGTAACAGAGACGCAGCTGACGCGGGTCGCACTGGCACACTGGCAGCACACCGCCGTCGACAGCACGCCAACGGCCAGCACGCACGCCACACGTGGCTCACTGGGCGAACCCGACAGTCCCGAGACCACCACCGAGGTTCTAGGAGCTGTAGCTCATTTTTGATCCTTTTTATGGCGTACTCTGTCTGTATTCTTTATGTATGCATACACTACAGTACATATAGCACATGCACAGACTGTTCAATAGCACGCAAGCCGTCGTGTGGCGCTCATGTCGAGAATCCCGCAGCTGCCGGCCTCATGGGGATGGAGTCTGATCTCGTTGATCGACCCGGTTACTTACAGCGGTTGTGGCGCGCTCGTGCTCACCTGTCGCTTTGCAGCCCCGGCTTGGGGCAGGCATCCATTGTAGTAGAAATTTCTTGAGTACTCTGACTAAGCGATGGGGCTGAAGGGATGTCCTATCGACAGCTTCAAAACTACGCAACATTGTCGCTCTCAACACAATTGAAAACCTCATGGGCCTCCCGCTGCAGCAGAAAAAGTAGCAGCAGCACAAGCAGCAGCTCGGATCGCCTACATCAGGAGGGATACTGTATTCCCTGCTGCCAGTCAGTTTCCACTTGCCCGTCTACGCGATGCTGCCACAACTCCAATTGTAACCTACTCCGTACACCCTTGCAGACTAGGACCTGCAGAGGCCCAACTCCACGATCTTGGTATATACCCCTTGTCTACACTTGGCATGAAAGCCGAGAAAAATACAACCAAACTGCGAGATAGCCCTGCATGCGGCTGTATTGTCCACACATGTCCTACATAGTAAATAGTTGACTGGCAAGAGTAGAGGTCGAGAGCGGCGAGTGGGAAACAATACCTTAGCCGATCGCGGCCCCTATCTCTAGCAGATATACACCCTCTTCCCCCACAATTATCCCATGTAGACTTACACGCCCATACCAAACCGTCTGTCATGATGTGACCACCTTGTAGGGTCCATTCTCCCTCGAAAAACACGCTGTGCTATTCTACGAGTACTTTTTGTGTATTCGATCGTCCAGAACCTTGTCCTTCGTTCTCACCCCGAACATCAAACGTCCAAACACTGAAGCAAAGAAATGGTTCAAAGTGCGCCTGCGCGTCTGCTTTCGATATTCCTCCGACTCGAATGCCCGATGTTGGTACCCTGCGTTGCAGACGTATCGAAGAATCCTGCCCCCCTACGTTGGTTCATGCAGTTGTTAGGATAATCCGAACTGGGGGTAGCTTGTCGCAAGACGTGTGTTGAATGGGGTGTCGGCAACTCGGCGAACTCGCGCCAAGGAGGAAAGATGCGCTGGGTTTGTTGTACAGACTTCTTCTTCACATGAAAAACATGGACTCACATGAACACATGAACACATGGACACATGGACACATGGACAGACATGAACTGCACGCACGCGTGCACGCACCACCATGAGGGGGCGACGCAGTATACAACAGGGGTACCTTGCACACCCTGGAAATACATTCCACGTACCACACAATCCTACATCCACTTGGCATTGCTACAAGAGTATATCTATCAGCCCCCCTGCTTGTGACCATGCCATGTCTTTTTCGATCCTCAAGAACTCCAAAACACAAGAAAATAAACTCAGAAACTCAACTCAACTCCAGAACAATAGCCTCACTGGCTAGACATCAATTCCCATCCCCGGTCATATCAGATATACTTCTTCGAGCTTCAGTGAACTAATTGCCCCCCAGCCTAGAATACCATCCATTGAGAAAAACCATAGGCAAAAATGCAAAATGTTGCTGCCACCCTAGTTGTTTGATCACACACAAAATAAACCCAAACATCAAAATATTAATCCATACTCATTACGAAGTTACGATGAAACTCGAAATTTCCCACGTTAAGTGCCTTCGTGAGGAAGTCAGCATGTTGATACGCCGATTCCACGTGAAAAATCGAAATCTCCTTCCTGCATACCAAATCCCTGATAAAGTGGTGCCTTACGTCGATGATGTGCTTCGAGTTACTGTTGCTATAATCGGGTTCTGCGCCAACTGAATAGCCCCCTGGTTATCCTCGAACACCGGAATACACGGCATATCGGCTTCTGGCAACATGAAACGCCATACTTGCCTCAGAAACAACACTTCCTTCATCACATCCGCAAGGGAGACATACTCCGCCTCTGTCGTGCTTAACGTAACGCACTTCTGCGTCCTTGAAAACCAAGAAATACATCCCCCCCACACATCACCAACCCTCCTGACACAGACCTCCTATCGGCAGCCTTACTTGCATAGTCTGCGTCTGCGAACACCTCCATGCTCAACCCTGCTACACTACCCCTCCTGAATGTAATACCCAAGTCACTAGTCCTTACCACATACCCCAAAATACCAAGACCTGCTCTCCAATGGATTTCTTTGGAAGAAGCACACTACCGTGCTACCGCTCTCACTGCGTTCGCGATATCTGGCCTCGTTTGCGTTGCCAGCCACATCAATGATCCTATCAGCTCACGAAAAGGCCTTGATACCACTTCTTCATCTTGGTCACACTCTGAAAGCTTCAACCCTACAGGAAGAGGAATTTCCTTCCCGTACTCTACCCCAAACTCCATCCCCAACTCTTCAGCGTACGTCTGCTTCGACGTCTTCACAGTCCCTGCATCCCAATTTTCCAAGAATAAAATCTCCTCTACCACCTGCTCCCTCAGGTTGTGATCGCTGTTCACAACCAAACGTCCTGTGAAAACCCCGAAAATAAAATCCTACTCGTTCAGGCTCGACCTCGTACTCAAAAAGACCAAACACAAAGCCGAAGCAACACAAACCAAAGCCAAAACAATGAGAACACCAAATAAGAAAAGTCACACCATTTGTCACACGAAGTATTTTTTTCCGGCCCATCAACCCCAGCGCTTTCATCCATCCCTCCTGCCACTGCTTCTTCCCCGCGGTAGCGACCCTCGCCTCTACCGCGGCCACCCTTTTCTGCTGGCATCGCCGCGGCTCGGGCTTCATCAGGTGCCACGTATGTATCCGCCTGGTTGGGGTGTGTGCAGCTGTTTCTCCGGAGGGATTGACTCGGCAGTGCAGGGGAGATGGCGCATCCGAAAGGGAAAGGTAAAGGCAAAATCAGTCACCCAAAGCGTCAATTCAGCACGTGGCACTGCTGGGGAGAATAGCTTGCAATACGCCCACTGTTCTGCGCAGCAGTGATAGTTGTCTTTCGCATTCTGTACGACATCATGGTTACCTATCAAATCGAACGCCAATCTACGACTGAGGTTAATTAATCCTCTTTCGCAAAAGTGACACAACGATTCTTGCGATTTGTCTGACAAGGTTAATTATTCCTCGGTCACGCAAACAACAATGTTGGATCCATGTTAGAGCTTACACAGCTGTGTTTCTGATCAACAACCCAACACATATTTTTACTGGTATACTGCTTTCGTGCATACAGTGTTCTGGTACGAAATGGAGATCATTTCCATGTATTCCTGTCGGTTACACAGACCCCTGACCAAATTTCCAAGTGTATCCCCCTACAACTCCTACCGCTAGACATGCAACAGACTCCTGTTCGTAACACGCAACTCATTGTCGGTAGAGGGTACAAAGATTCATGACGCCTTCGCATATCCCGTTATCGACGTGAACGCAAAAATAATGAGTCGGAGATCAATCTCTGTATTTTAACACATACGGGACAAAATATTCCCACCAACTTCAAAGCACTCAAGAAGGTATATGCAGTCGCTTGGTTAGGATTCGCTGATAATCTCATCTAATCTTTCAGTTTCTGTGGGTGACTGGCAACCTTACGTGGCGTAGTAGCCATACAACCTCGCAGTTTTGTGGGTGACTGGCAACCTTACGTGACGCAATATCCATTTAACCTCGCAGTTTTGTGTGGGTGACTGGCAACCTTACGTGACGCAATATCAATATAACCTCGCAGTCTTGTGTGGGTGACTGGCAACCTTACGTGACTCAATATCCATTTAACCTCGCAGTTTTGTGTGGATCACTGGCAACCTTATCAAGAATAGAACGCCCTTTGATGGGGTCTACTGCTGTACCTCTCAGGAAAAACATGTGCAAGATGATGACGCGTATGTATGCAGAACTCAACAAGGTGTGCTGTAGGTTTATCGGAGCACACCCAAACGAAATCGACGAAGACAAGCATGCAAGCACATATACCAAAACCACTTCAGACGTAAAACGGTGAGCAAATCATCACGTGTCTGAGCGGATCTACGACCTTAGTAGGCGCATGCTGATGGTGTTGCTGCTCGGCATCTCCAGTGTTATAACAACATTCGAAATTGGCTCTCAAAAACCTGTACTCCAACCTGGACATCGCCACTAGAATCAAACACACCCGTAAATGGGGCTACATGTATTACATACAGGACTGACACGGATGGTGTCCTTAGGGGTTAAGACTTCCCTGGTTTCCTCCCCCGGGGTGTTGGTCCTTCGCATTGCCCGCGCGAAGGACTCAACGAGACGGTCCTCCAACGATCGTGGCTGGTCTTCAGGTTGCGGGTCTAACGCTGTTCCAGCCGGCCGAGCATGCCGGGGATCGCCTCCATCGGGGGGCTTGTCCACGCTCTCTGATGCGGGACGCTTCTCTTCGGTAAACTTGATTTTTTCTTGTACTCCCGACTCCACTTCCTCTTTGATGTGCGCCGATAATGCTTGGCGGTCCTCTTCAGTTAAGCTGCTGAGGTCGAGGGCTTCCATGATCTACTTCTCTAGCCGAACCCTTTTGTAGCTAACCTCACCTCGGGATCCCGTGTGATATCACACGCTAGCGTGTTAGGATGATCCGAACTGGGGGTAGCTTGTCGCAAGACGTGTGTTGAATAGGGTGTCGGCAACTCGGAGAACTCGTGCCAAGGAGGAAAGATGCGCTGGGTTTGTTGTATAGACTTCTTCTTCACATGAAAAACATGGACTCACATGAACACATGAACACATGAACACATGAACACATGGACACATGGACAGACATGAACTGCACGCACGCGTGCACGCACCACCATGAGGGGGCGACGCAGTATACAACAGGGGTACCTTGCACACCCTGGAAATACATTCCACGTACCACACAATCCTACATCCACTTGGCATTGCTACAAGTATATCTATCAGCAGTGCACTCTGTACTCACAACCCCTATTCATGTCGAAGATCATAGACTTACTGTCCATCGACCGAGCTCTGCCAAGTGCGTCAAGGAGCACGACTGATCAACGCTTCGTTCGCGTGGACGCCATGTTGAGCGTATCACCCCCAAGGTCAGCGACATACGTGCCGAACAAGAGATGGTCCATGGCAGCATCGACAACCAGAAAATATGTCACTAAGTCACATGCGGGAGAATTCAGAATCAATCGCTAAACTATGTCTTCGAGCTCACCTCAGTAGTGCTACCATATCCACTGTACTATCGCCTACCACCCTGTTTGAGTGCCGGACGTTTACCAGCTCGTCACTGCCGGTTTACTGGGGATGGTGACTGACTGACCGGAGACATTCACGCGGCACAGGCTTTACCCCTGGGGCGATGTCGACGGAATGTCGCCTGGGGGAGAACTTGATAAATCGGATTTCCTGCAGCTGACCAGATGGTCGCTGCATGGACGACGAACGTGCCCTGCTAGATCCTTGTGGAGTTGTCAACTCCTCATCCACTGCTTCTTGCCCAACATTTCCCACAAAAGCTCTACATGGTACCCTATCGAGAACCCACACACGTGCGTGCGTGAAGGGCTTACCACGCATTGCCTTTGCGAGTCGAGTGGACCGCTGACCACCCATACGGAATGAGATTGGACCTTGTACGTACGACTTCGGGCGTATGATGTTGCGCCGCACAACTACGATACACACGATAATTTCTTGCCCGTTAATACATTTACAGGTGAAACGTGGCTTCGGTTGGGTACCTTGATGAAGCAGCCGTGGGGTGGAAGTTAAACGGTTTGGTACACCGACATGGTGTACGGGCCACCGCATATCTCGTCGGAGTTACCCGTGCAGGACATGTCGCAGATGCCGAAACCGTTGGCAGCGAAGTCGGCGTTATCATCGCCGCACCAGCACTGTTTCATGCAGCAGCATCAGTCAATAGGCAAGGGGGCTTGTGAACGGGCGGAGAGCACCGATGGACAAGAAACTACGGCAGCTTGAATCATTGCGAGACACGAACCATTTCACGCTGACGGCCGTAGCCCACCAAAGCACATTATAGCGCTTGACGCGTCCCGAACTCCACACGTTTTGCACGACACTCCCCCGCATAGCATCATTTACACCCGTTGGACGCGTATATCAAGAAGTCGTACCTCTTGAGAATACTGGGTTCCGTAGTAGGCCGAGCCGGTGCAGAGCGAGGCGCAGGCCTGGTCGTTGGGTCATGTACGTGTGTATGCGCACGAGCAACGGTCGGTATAGTCAGGGTAGGAGGGAAAAACAAGTCGTGAGCGCCAACTCGAAAGAGAGATACACGGAGGAGCGCGGTGTGTTGGGCATACAAAATGGCGAACATTAGTTGACACTTGGTATGCAAGCACCGCACGATGTTGATATCGAGGAAGAACACAACAACAACAACATTACGAAGGACGTTTACGAATGCGCGATACTCATGTATTGACCTTTGAAGCAAACCAACGTCTTTGGCTGGCTAACTGTTCACCTCTGCGGTCATATCGAAGGTAGAACTCTCCCTCTCGAAAATGCGGCCGTCGGCGGGGTCCGAGAAGCACCCAAGGTACGCGGGGTCCTGGGCGTATACATTCATCCTGTACGACCCCCCGCAGATTTCTTCGGAGTCGCCTGAGCAGGCCATGTCGCAGACGCCTTCGCCGTAGACGGAGTATTGGGCGTTAAAATCACCCCACCAGCACTGCTTTCGAAGGGATGGAACAGTGGGGGGCGACGAGGGGCGTAGACAGACAAAAACGACAATATTGAGGGAGGTACAGTACGTAGATGGGCGCGAAGCTGATGGTGGTGTCAGCAGGTGGTGCATGCCACACAAGAACCGGAGGCAGGAGGAACAACGAGCAACCACAATCGGCTCGAGGGGAAGCATTCTCCGATATCCACGTACCGCGATCACCCATGGCAACACCCACAACGTCGACGACGAATAATCTTACACGTCGTGCTCTGAGCACTTGGGAAGAAGATTCTGGAGTGTTTCCGAGCCATGTGCCCTCTTTCAGTGCGCGTTAAGACCTGGCGTGCGGTTTGGATTCTGGTCGCCTGTACGGTGTAAATACAACCAAGGCCATGACAAAGTTAATACATGGAATCGGAAAGCAATACAAGCTGCATTTGAGGTCGGACTACTTCCGAACAGTCCCGGGAAAGTGACTGATGTAGAGAGTGAATCACACTAGATGTAGAGAACCAACACAAAGCCGCGGAGACTATGGACCGTGACTCCTGAACGAATATCAATACAGAACCGGACCCATCCGATCGACGGGGAAACTGGATTCAACTGTTACAGAGTCCTCACCTCACTCGAGTACTGCGTTCCGTAGAAGGCCGAGTCGGGGCATTGCGTCGCGCAGAGCTGTGGTCGTGTGGGTAACGGTGAGTGTCCACGATGATGGATCAAGAGGACGAGGGGGAAGGAGGAGTCAGGGAAAACTCAACACTAAGAGCGACAACGTAGATGTGCTGGGTGCAGGGATGGCGAGTTGACTTCCGGAACGTTTTCTAGAGCCTCGGACATTTCACGGGCAACCACAAGGCGACATCGGCATCGGAGAGCATGGGCGTGCAGGGCACCGACCAAGCGGAGGCACCAACACAACTTCTCAGAATTTCCTCAAGTGCCTAACAAGGTCCGGAATTGATCCAGGAGAGCACAGTGTCATCAACGGAGGGATGACGCAAGACGATAGACAGCAGGACCAGCCCAAAGGGTCGCCGCCACCTTCTAGTGTGACGTTTCCCAAGCTGACACAGCTCACACAGCTGACGTCGTTTGACTCCAAGCGCCCAGCACATCTCACCCAACGGAAACGAACAGTTTACAAAGCTAAAGTGGATACATTCAACAAATGCCTCTGTTGACCCCTCTCTTACGTCTAGGGTCATCTCGTCAGAGGAAGCGTTCTGCACGAAAACACGGTTGGTGGCTGAGTCAGAGTAGCAGCCACGGTACGCGGTGTACCCACGATCCACGTAACCCTGGTAGACACTCATACTGTAGGGACCTCCACAAATCTCGCTGACGTCGCCCGCACAGGGCATCACGCACTCGTCGCTGGCACCGTTCGCATCGTAGCCGGCGGTCTCGTCACCGCACCAGCACTGTTGAGTTCGAGAGTATCCAGAAAGGGGAGGTAGGGGAGCACAGTGAGTGAGAGGGCGCGGGTTTCATCGTGATTTCGTGGTACACAAGACGCTTGTTGGCAACGCCATAGCTTGGACTACTGTGGGTGGGTGGGAGTGACGTGAGGCCACAGCTGTCAACGTGTATCGGGAAAACATCAGACAGGAGGATCTGGCCTACAAACGAGCAGGCCTCAGTGAGTTCAGGCGATCGCCTGAAGCATCAGCAAACGTCCTACGTAACCTATGTGATTGACTGAACATGCAGGATTGTTCGTTTCTCCAAGGAACTGCCGATCCCGCACGTTCCGCGATGGCGATGCGAATGGCCACCGAAACAAGGCAGTGGCCGACAATGTGGAACGCCCACTCCGACGCGCATGATGTTTTTGCAACGCCACGTTGGGGTAAAGTTAAGGCGAGCGATCGTGATCCACACCAACTATTTTCGCGTGTATGCTATGAGTCTCACCTCTGCCGAATACTGCGTTCCGTAGTACTCGTACGTGCTGCAGTGCCCCAAGCAGACCTGTGGTCGTTCGGGCACAGTAAGGGGAAGTCAACGGTCAGTCGAACGAAACACGACGAGCGAACAGAGGGCGACGTAGATTGGTGTGGGAGGTGGCGGCTGTGCCACGGCAAACCACCATGTAACCAGCAACAGCACCACGCGGAGTGCAAACCGTTACGGATCGGCACAAAAGCGAATCTACAGCTCAACCCAAGCAAACGGACCAAACGAATCGGGGTTCCGTTGCTTACTCACCTCCACAGTCATGTCGTCAGAGGAAGCCACCAGCTCGAAAATGCGGCTGTCGGCCGGGTCGGAGAAACATCCAAGGTAGTCAGGGTTAATGTCAACTTCGTGCTGGCGAATAGACATAGCGTTAAACCCGCCGCAGAACTCGTTGTCGGTGGATCCAGCGCACTCAAAGTAGCAGACACCCGGGCCATTTTGCGCATAGTCGGCCGTGCCCTCATCGCACCAGCACTGTTTCAAGGACACAAACAGGAGCGCAGCCAGAAGGGCATAGAGCAGTTGGGCTTCACCAAGATATGGTCCGTTTCCTGGGGGTGATGAATGGAAGCCGAGTTCGATAGACTGCGCCAATGTGGAGAACCGCGACATCTCTCGTACCACAGAGAGGGAGAAGGTCGTGATGCCGAGCGTACAGTAGTATTCGTATTTATTCACGTCCTCCACTACAGTGAAAGCAATCCTGCCAAAAGTGTCTGTTTCGGTCTGGAACAATCCTCTCACTGCCGTCAGTGCATACTTGGAATCCAATAATGAAGCGATGACTTGTCGGTCGGTAAGCATGTCAATCTCCTGGAGGTGTATGTGCTTCAGACGAGGTTTCCTTCTCAAAAGGCGTAACTGACGAAACATAGTCATGTTCTTGACTCGGAACGGGCAGTCCTTACGGCGCCTCCGAGGGCTCCTAACTTGAATGACGAAGTCAAAACCGATGACATCTCACCGGCGTCTCGCTCACACAACCGGCCTCTACAACCCGATAGATATAATTGAAGTAACTAAACGCTCATCTCACCTCGGTTCCATACTGCGTCCCATAATAGGTATAATTGGCGCAGAGACTCTCCCAAACCTGCGACGTTGAATACAACCGGGCGTCAAGTGGCGCATTGTTTTCGAGACGGTGAGTATTTTGCCCGTCAATCGTGGCGCACAGGTCAGTCCGAAAACACAGGTTGTTGGCGCATGCACTTCGTGTTGTGTTGTGATGTGGAACTGGCTGATCAAACACCGTAAGTAGCCGTTGGTGTTGAACAGAGGCGTATTGACAAACCTCGTTCGTTAGATAAACCATCCCATTACTGATATACTGTAGCGGTTTGGGAGAAAAGGGCTCGATTCGTCTGCTCGTGAACAAGGAACTAGTTGTCGGCTGACTTCACATGCGATTTCTCTGCGTGTGTTCGCCGCGAAAAATAAAGAAAGTTTGGGTGGGGCGCGTCGATCGATCAGAAATTGAATATCGAACTGTAATGTGGGCCCGGATCAGCTATCCGTCGGTACGTGGTATACGTGAACCACCATGGCCTAGAAATGCCTTACTTATGTAAAAAGGCATGGGGGTCTATGTAAGCCACCTACGTGGCGTCAACGACTTTTCACCCGCTGAGCACCAACACTGAGAGCACGGGTGATTAGATTCGCATGGTTCCGCTCGGATGCAGACAAACGTACGTGCGACTGGGACACCTCCTACGGCGCCAGACGAAACACCCAACATTTCTGCATGTGCGCTATGCAAGGGCTGACAAAATGAAGCGAGGGGCTTATCATCGGGACCGGGACCTTAGAAAACAATAACAAGTGAAGTCTATGTACGTATCACGCCTTTTTAATACTGAGACAATTACTCGTTCTTTCGCAGTGCTTGATTCGCCTCACACCAGCGGGGAGCTGGTTAAGTTCGTATGTACGCCCGACCCGAACGCACTCCAGGGTTGAAAACTCGCAGGGAATTATTTCAGTAGAATATGCACGCTTTGATTGATTCATTTTATTGTATGTATTCCGGCTGCATAAGCCATGTCTTATCGGCAGCTTCAAACTTCAAACCACGCAACATTGCCACTCTCAACACAGTGGAAAGCCTCATGGGCCTCCGGCGGGAGTACGAATTGCATCAGCAGGTCGGAAAGCGTTGGGGTAGTTTCTGCTGCCAGTTTCCACCCGCCCATCTACGTGACACTACCACAACTCCAGTTTTATCCTACAACCTTTCAGACGACTGGGACCTGCGGAAATCCAACTCCACTATTGGTACATACCCCTTTCCTTCACTTCAGACATGAAACCCGAGCACGAAATACAACCCAACTGCGAGATAGCCCTGCGGGCGGCTCTAGTCGACGACCTGACCGGCATGAATAGGTCGAGAGCGGTGAATGAGAAACAAAACTTTCGCCGATGATCCGTACCTCCTGCATTTCTACACGCTCTTGCCCCACGATGCCCCCCTGTACATGCCCACACCAAACTCTCTGTCATATTTGTGACCACCTTGTGGGGGTGTATCAACCTCTAACACGCTTCTTCCTAGCTACTGTTCTTCTTGGACGATAGTGCAGAACAGAGTCCGTCCTTCTCATCCCAAGCCCGCGAAAATCTACAGAAACATCAAACATCCAAACATTCAAGCAAAGGTGTCGTCCAAAGTTCAGACACCAATCATTCCCCCCTGCACCGCTGCTTTCGATATTCTTTCCAGCTGAATACCCGATGTTGGTACCGCGCGTTGCAGCATATGGTGGAATCCTGCCCGCCTACTTCGGTTCAGTGCACTCATAACTGTTGGTGTCGAAAACGTAGACCTACACCGACCAAGCTGTGTCACGTGCGTCGAGGAACATGACTGACAAACGCTTCGCTCGTGTGGCCGCCACGTTCAGTGTATCGCCCCCAAGGTCTGAGACGTGCCTGCCGACCAAGAGATGGTCCATGGCAGCATCGACATACAGTCAACATGTCAGCAAGTCACTTGAGAGAATTCGGAAAAAATCGCAATACCGTCGTCATAGAGCGCACCTCAGTAGTGCTGCCATATCCAGTACAGTAGCGCCCAACACGCTATTCGAGTGCCGGACGTTTACCCGTTTGGTCACGACCGGATTTTCTCGCAATGGTGACTGGCCGGAGAATTCACGCGGCACAGACTTTACCCCTAGGGCGACGTCGACGGAATGTCGCCTGGGGAAGAAATAAATATGTATTCTAGATAGGCTATCGTTTTTCCTGCAGCTAACCAGATGGTCGCTGCATTGACGAGCAACGTGCCCTGCTAGGTCCTTGGGAGTTATCGATTCCTCAACCATTGCTTGGTTCTTCCCCGACGCTTCTCACAAACCACAACAGCTTTACATGGTACCCCATCGGCACCCACACACGTTCGTGAACGTACCTACGTATGCATTGCCTTCGCGGTTCACGTGGACTGCTACCCACGTAACCGGTATTAGATAGAACCTTGTGCGCACGACTCCAGGTGTTCGATATTGCACCGCCTAATTGCTATACACGAGAAATTCTTGCCTCTTGGCCCATTTTTGAGCGAAACGTGGATGGTGTTCGTTACCTTGATGAAGCAGCCGCGGGGCGGCAAGTCAGACGGTTTGGTACACCGACATGGTGTACGGGCCACCGCACATCTCGTCGGAGTTACCCGTGCAGGGCATGTCGCAGGCACCGAAACCGTTGGCAGCGTAGTCGACGTTGTCGCCGCACCAGCACTGTTTCATGCAGCAGCATCAGTCAATAGGCAAGGGGGCTTGTGAACGGGCGGAGAGCACCGATGGACAAGAAACTACGGCAACTTGAATCATTGCGAGGCACGAGCCATTTCACGCTGACGGCCGTAGCCCACCAAAGCACATTATAGCGCTCGACGCGTCCCGAACTCCATACGTTTTGCACGACACTCCCCCGCAAAGCACCATTTACATCCGTTGGACGCATGTATCAAGAAGTCGTACCTCTTGAGAATACTGGGTTCCGTAGTAGGCCGAGCCGGTGCAGAGCGAGGCGCAGGCCTGGTCGTTAGGTCATGTACATGTGCGTGTGCACGAGCAACGGTCGGTATAGTCAGGGTAGGAGGGAAAAACAAGTCGTGAGCGCAACTCGAAAGAGAGATACACGGAGGAGCGCGGTGTGTTGGGCATACAAAATGGCGAACATGGTTGACACTTGCTATGCAAGCACCACACGATGTCGATATCGAGGAAGAACACAACAACAACAACATCACGAAGGACGTGTACGACTTCGCAGCACTCACGTATTGGCCTTTGAGGAAAACAGACCAACGTCTTTGGTCGGTTAATTGCTCACCTCTGCGGTCATAGCGGAGGTGGAACTCTCCCACACGAACATGCGGCCGTCGGCGGGGTCCGAGAAGCACCCAAGGTACGCGGGGTCTTGGGCGTAGACGTCCATGCTGTAGGACCCCCCGCAAGTTTCTTCGGAGTCGCCTGAGCAGGCCATGTCGCAGACGCCTTCGCCGTTGACGGAGTATGGGGCGTTGATGTCACCACACCAGCACTGTTTTCGAAGGGATGCAACAGTGGGGGGTGACGAGGGGCGTAGACATACGAAACGGCCAATATTGAGGGAGGTACAGCACGTAGGTGGTCGCGAAGCTGATGGTGGTGTCAGGAAGAGCGGCTTGCCACATGAGAACTGGAGGCAGGAGGAACAACGAATAACCACAATCGCCTCGAGGAGAAACATTCTTCGATCCACGTACCGCGATCACCCCCATGGCCATACCTACAACCTCGTTAACAAATAAATGATCGTAGGCGTTGTGCTCTGAGCACTTGGTAAGAAGATTCAGGAGTAATTCCGAGTCATGTGCCCGTCTATTCAGTGCGCGTTAAGACCTGGCGTGCGTTTTGGATTCTGGGCGCCTGTACGGTGTAAATACAACCAGATAAATTTATCAATGGAGTCGGAAAGCAATACAACAAGCTGCAATTGTGGTCGGACTACTTCCGAACAGACCCGGGAAAGTGACTGCTGAGTTAATGTTGTAGAGAGTGAATAACAACAAATGTAGAGAATCAATATAAGGCCAAATGTAGAGACTCAATAAGAGGCCGGGGAGACTATGGACCATGACTCCTGAACGAATGTCACAACAGAACCGGACTCATCCGACCGACATATTTCGGACCCTGTATTCAACTGTTACAGCGTCCTCACCTGACTGGAGTACTGCGTTCCGTAGAAGGCCGAGTCGGCGCATTGCGTCGCACATTGCTGTGGTCGTGTGGGTAACGGTGGGTGTCCGCGATTATGGATCATCAGGACGAGGGGCGAAGGAGTACTGTAGTTAGGGGAAAACCAACGCTAAGAGCGACAACGTAGATGTGCCGGGTGTAACGATGGCGGGTTGACTTCCGGAACGTGTTCTAGCGCCTTAGACATTTCGCGGGCGACGGCAAGGCGACATTGGCATCGGAGAGCATGATCGAGCAGCGCATCGACCAAGGGGAGGCTCCAACAACTTCTCAGAACTTCCTCAAGGACCTAACAAGGTCCGGAATTGGCTCAGGAGAGAGGAGAGTGCCATCAAGGAAGGCATGATGAATGATGAACGTCAGCAGACCCAGCTGACAGTGGGCTGCCACCTGCCAGTGTGACGTTTCTCAAGCTCATCAGCTCACACAGCTGACATCTTTTGACTCTAAGCGTGCAGAAAACCTCATCCGACGAAAACGAACCTCATACAAAGCTAGAGTCGATACAGTCTACACACGCCTCTGTTGCCCTCTGTCTCACGTCTGCGGTCATCTCGTCAGAAGAAGCGTCCTGCACGAAAACACGGTTGGTGCCTGGGTCGGAGTAGCAGCCACGGTACGCGGGGTCCACAGGGATCTCCACATCATTCTGGTAGACACTCATACTGTAGGGGCCGCCACAAATCTCGCTGGCGTCGCCCGCGCAGGGCATCACGCACTCCTCGCTGGCACCGTTCGTGTCATAGGCGGTCTCACCGTCACCGCACCAGCACTGTTGCGTTCGGCAGCATCCCGAAGGCGAGAGAGGGGAGTGCAGTGAGTGAGACGACGAGGGTTCGATCGTGACGTCGTGGTCGTGGCATACACGATGCTTAGATGGCAACGCCATAGCTTGGACTACTGTAGGTGGGTGGGCGTGACGTGAGGTCACGGATTTCAACGTGTATCGGCAAAGCCCGGGAAAGGAGGATCCGGCCTGCCAACTACTGTAGCAGGCCACGATGATCAACTACTGTAGCAGGCCACGATGATTTCAGCCGATCACCTGAAGCATCAGGTAAGGTCCTTCCAGTAACCTATGCTATTGACCGCATATGGGACCTTGTTTCTGTCTCCTAGGAGCATCGGCGATCCAGCACGTTCCCAGATGGTGTATCGAACCGCGGTGGTACGTAGGGCCACCAAAACAAGGGAGTGGCCGAGAATGTGGAACGCTCACTCCGACCCGCATGATGTTTTTGCAACGCCACATTGGAGTAAAATTAAGGCGCGCGATCGCGATCCACACCAATTCGTTTTGCGTGTGTGGTACGAGTCTCACCTCTGTCGAATACTGAGTTCCGTAGTACGGGTACGCGCTGCAGTGCCCCGAGCAGACCTGTGGTCGTTCGGGCACGGTAAGGAGAAGTCGATGGCCAGTCGAAGGAAGCGAGGCGAGTAAACAGAGGGCGACGTGAATTTGTGAGGGAGGTAGCGGTGGTGGGTTGGTCTAATGATGATTCCGAAAGCTGGGGTGAACGGCTGTGCAACGGCAAACCACTATGTAACCAGCAACAGTACCACGCAGAGTACAACAAGCCTTCAGTCGTCGACAAAAAATACATCAGCAGCTCAACCCAACCAAACGCACCAATCGAATCGGGGTTCCGTTGCCTACTCACCTCCTCGGTCATGTCGTCAGAGGAAGTCACCAGCTCGAAAATGCGGTTGTCGGCCGGGTCGGAGAAACATCCAAGGTAATTGTCGGGGTTGGTGTCTACTTCGTGTTGGCGAATGGACATAGCGTCAAACCCGCCGCAGAACTCGCCGTCGGTGGATCCAGCGCACTCATAGTCGCAGACGGCAAGACCATTTTGCGCATAGTCGGCCGTGCCCTCGTCGCACCAGCACTGTTTCGAGGATACAAGCAGGAGCACAGCACGAAAGGGCGAGAGAAGTTAGGCTTCACCAGAATGGTCCATTTCCTAGGGGCGATGAATGGAAGGCCGAGTTAGATAGACCGCGCCAATGTGCAGAACCGCGACATCTCTCCTACAACAGGGTTAGAGGGAAAGAGTCGTGATGCCGAGCGCACCAGGAACCTATCGGTGTCTATTGTACATGTGTATGCACGTCCTCCGCCACAGTGAAAGTAATCCCGCCATGTGTCTGTTTCGGTCTGGCACGTTCCTCTCACTGCCGTCAGTCCAAACTTGGAATCCAATGATGAAGCGATGACTTGTCGGTCGGCAAGCATGTCAATTTACTCGCGGTGTACGGGCTACAGACGAGGTTGCCTTCTCAACCAGCGTAACTGACGAAACAGAGTCTCCTTTTTGACTCGGAACGGGCAGATCTTACGGCGTCTCCGACGGCTCCTGACTTGAATGACGAAGTGGCAGCCGTTGACAACTCACCGGCGTCTCGCTCGCACAATTCTCGCCGGAGGGAGGGACTGGCCCTACAACCCGATAGGAGGATATCCTAAAGTATCTAAACGCTCATCTCACCTCGGTTCCATACTGCGTCCCGTAGTAGGCATAGTTGGCGCAGAGACCTTCGCAGACCTGCATCGTGAAATACAGCCGGACGTCAAGTGGCGCATTGTTTTCGAGACGATGAGTGTTCTCCCGATGAATCGTGGCGCACAGGTCAATCCGAAAACGTAGGATGTCGTCGCATGCAAGTCGTGTTATGTTGTGATGTGGACCTGGCAGATCAAACACCGTACAGCAGTTGGAGTTGATCAGAGGCGTCTTGACAAACCTCATTCGTTAGATAAACCACCTCACTACTGTATACTATAGCGGTTTGAGAGAGAGCGGCTTGATTCGCCTGCTCGTGAAGACGGAGCTCGTCAAGTGTTCTTCTATCCCCGTCCACGACTGCCGCACCCGATGTCATCGGGATTTCGTGGGCTTCCGAAGGGTGGGCTAACGAGGTTGAGAATCGCTTACCTTTGAAGGCCTCTATTACTCTTTTCGTCCTAAGCACGGATGAACACCAGTATGAGCCATATCGCGATATCCTCGGCGAGTGAGGACAATGCACACAATGCACACACACACAGCCCAAACTCGGCTACTTGGCGTGCTTATTCAAGAGCATAATCTAATCTACTACGCTGGTTCCTCACCGCAGTGGTCATGTCGTCTGATACGTCGATCCGGGTGGAAAACAGCCGTGTTTCCGCCGTGTACGGATCGCTCCAGCACCCCAGGTAGTCGGCGTCGTTCGAGTAAATGGAGAGCGCGTACGACCCGCCACAGATCTCGTCAGAGTTACCGGAGCAGGGCATGTCGCAGTCGCCAGCGCCGTTGGACGCGTATCCGACGTTGTCACCGCACCAGCACTGTTGTTTAGGAACGAACGGCATACGTTCCGAATGATTAATGGGGTGGGGCCAAAAGGAGTGCAAGGGCGTCATGGTTGCGAGAGTGGCGTGCGGTGTTGTTCCCTAATGAGACAAGAATGAGGAAAGCAAGCGTGGCGGTAGTCGTTGCTTCGAACCAATGTCGCCGAGGAGAAGAGAAAATCAATCACGACCAGCATCTCAATTGGCAAGGATACTCTCGTCCGTCTCCCCCGATCGCGAGTCGACCGTTCCAAATCGATCAAGGTTTCTGTGCCACCTTAAGCCAGAACCACTAAACTCGCTTGTGTAATACAACAGGGGGCCAAGGAGCGAACAGCCCGTGAAACTATTGTACACTGGGGGCCTGCCAAACGTTTAGGCTTCGGACGTTTTCGATATTCAGTGGGCCCGATGCCCAAGGTACGACTATGCACGTGATGTCGCGACCTCCACCTCCGAATCACTGAATCATCTTCGATTCGTTTGTGCGATCACGATGCCGATCGGCACCTCCTCTATTGGTCGGCTAATGCACTCAACCCCATTGTTTTGAAATTTGGGATTTTTACCTCTGTTGAGTACTGGGTCCCATAGAAGTCCGACCCGGAGCAGAGCTCGGAACAGGCCTGTGGTCGAAGGGTTGTGTGAATGCGTGCAAAGCGGGCGTTGGTCACCATTAGGGATCCGTGGAGCAATGGCGGGCGCGTGTCCACAGGAAGCGCCATGGCCGCACTAGGCGTGTCATTGGCCTTCACGGCTCACAAAGCGAATTTGAAAGCGCGGATAACTCCTGTGCAATTTTCTGACGACATCAGCAAAACCAACTTCCGCGAGCAGGCGTCGAAAAGAGGTACACTCCAACTCGCACGTAGACCCCTTCGTGCCGGCATTGCAAAACAACCAAGTGACACACGTGTCCTAGCGTGTGTCCGCCCACCATCGATCGATCCTACTCACATCTGCGGTCATAGCGGAGGTAGAAGACTGCCATTCGAAGACGCGGTTCTCGGCAGGGTCCGAGAAGCACCCGAGGTAAGATGGGTCATCGGACTGACCTGCTCCGGCAACACGATAATCTCAAGAACTGAGAAACTTGCTCCAATGTGCAAAGCCTCAGGAGGCACGCACGTATGTACTCACACCGCGGAGCTGGACGGTTGGCCTACAGTAGCTATTCGTTTCAGTTTGGAAGGTGATTGCCCATTGAGTGGTGCTCTACACCTTGCCCTGGTCAACAACTGAATTATTTTCGGAGAAGGCGCTCCGGGTCTCGGGATATTCGTTTCTGGACTTGTTCAAGTGTAAGGTGACTGAGGAACCACAAACGGAAACGGTAAAAACTGCGTAACTGCGTTGTTGTTACATGTGTTTGGCTCATTTTCGTCTGCACTCAGTCGTATGTAGTTGCGCGTATAACACAATGTCTTAGCAGCTCGGGAGCATGAAAACCGCTTGTGGGAGCGTCGAGAATCTTTTTTCTGTTTCTGGTGCTGTGCTACACTGACCTGATCGGTTGGCTTCAGAGAGCATTCCCGATCCATTCACGGAGTTTTCGCTATAGTAGCAGAGTGTCAGAGGACGATGCAGGTCCTGATCTTTGTGTCAACTAGACTCACCAATGGCGACCCCGAGGAGGAGCGTCGGTAGCGCCAGCGAAAGGAGATGCATCTTGACCTCGAGATTGCTGGAAAGCTGACACCTGAACAGCAATAGACCATTGTTCATCAGGGATACGAGCGCGATGGTCGTTGGGTCACTATTTGCGGCTATTTGCTTATTCACTCTTTTCCATATGCGTTCTATGTATGCTGGCGATTATGGAGTTTGGGTGGAGAAACGCTTGTCGAAAATCTCGATCAAGGGTTCCGTTATACCACAAGCATTACTACAGCTTGTAGATTATCTCACTTCGGGATCGAGAGAATGTGGGAGTACATGGGTTGCGTTCTTTTCTCTGTGGGTGAGCAGATCATGCCTGCCACTGCCTGTAGTTTCAAGAGCGCACGGGTACGTCTAGATTGAGATGAAAACCCAAACACGCAAACGTCACGTCATCCCGCTGTAAACAACGTTGAACAAATTCTTTGTGCAACAGATACAGTGTAGTCTTGTAGACGACCTGGAAGGAAATCATCTATAATCGATGTACTGCGACAACATAGACCACTCACAGCACGTTCTTGGGGGCCTCAGGGGTTCTTGATCTGCTCGGGAGTGCAGACAGGGGGAGAAGAAGCAGAGTGTGAGCTGGTGGGCGAGAGGGCGGATGCCGTTCTCTCGGGTGTTTCACATGTGATCTCACACGTGGTAACTTTGCTCGAAATTGTGTTGTGGGCAACAGGGAGACCGACAAGTGTGAGCGTGTGTTCGGAAGAGCCGGCGGGTTGCGCAATTGTTTCAACGAAGCGTCTGACATCATCGTGTCACTTCCTTCTGTTCGGTTCATTTTCTTGTGGACAACGGTGATCTACAGTACACTAAACGTCAACGGAAAGGGCCTACCGTGTCACATGTCTGTTGGCGGCGGGCTGCACTCTTCTTGCAATCGATGATTGGGCGAACCTGACAGTCCCGGACCACCGAGATCGCGATGGGTTTGTGGATTTCCACGAAGTGCTGTAGTATAGCAGTGGGCCCTATGCGTGAACGAGTGGGTCCTGGAAAGCTAGTCATTGGCACGAATGGGGACCGTTTAGGTCTAGGCCCAGTCCTGGGGTGGTATGCAGAGATGCGAAGTTGGTTGGTACGTTATCAGGCATCATGTGAGGGCTGTCACGCCGTAGATTTCGGGGAAATAATCTGGCTCTCGGAAGTCCCGTATCCTGCTATCCTGCTTCACGCATTCACGGGTTGCTTTTCAGGATTTCAGGATTGTGTCGGCAACATACAACCGTTGGCGGTGTGCTGGATCACAGGGCGCTACTACGGTCCAGGAAGGACTCCATGCTCCTATGCCGGTACGGTATCGTGGTCTGGGTCCAAAAGGGGGCACAATCTGCCACAACACTCTTCCGGGATTGTTTTTTCACATGGGCAGCTCATGGGCAGCCCGTGAGCAATAGGCATGAGCTGCACATGGGCAGATCATTATGCCTACGTTGGGCGCACCCGGTCAAGGATGTGTAAATATGAAATAACGCAATCCAGACCAAGCATTGGCCCTGTTACCCTGTGAAAGTACAGTGCACATAGAATCTACGCAGGTATACGTTTGTAGTGTTTGACGGTCCTTGCCATTCTTCGGGTAATCGACAATCGTCAAGGTATTAGATCCGGACCCAAATATGGTCGCTTCTTGCTGGGGGCACACTGAGAAACGCTGACAGAATAGGGCGAGTATATCCATTCTTAACCAATCGTTGGACGTCCTGATGAAAGAGTTAAGGTTAGGGTTGGGGTTTCCACGGTGAGTATTCGATGGGCACTGCCCATTGTGAGCATGTTGAATACCTGCGATGACCTCCGCTTGGGAATGCCCATGAGCGCGCCCGTGGGCCGCCCACCATAGGGTAAGTTGCAGTGAATTACATCTCTCACGTTTGGCAGCCTATGGGACTGCGCGTAGTCTTGTCCGCAGCCCATGGGAGAATGAGCATACTGCAAAAGCAAGTGTGGGAGACCCAGAGAGCAGGGACGTGCAGGCACGATGTTATCCAAGCCATATGGGCGATACATATGTCTCGCGTGATCCTATTACGGTTAACAAAGACTTCGCAGAATACGTGTAATTTAATCCTACAACACACTTATCGGCCCAGAGTGAAAATTATGTCATTGCCTGGGACGCGCGTGGGGAAATATCGAACCCACGAGGTCGCCGTCGGAGGCAAACGTGCATCACACCGTGGTGCGTCTCGACCTCAGAGCTACGAGTTTCAAAGTATGATTTGGCATCTACATACAGCGCCAGACATGATACTATACGGCAAGCAAGACAGAAGCGAATCAAACTCTACTCTGAGAACTCAACACAACCGACCGTCGCAAGCATCGAAAATCACGATGATGTGCAAGAACAACCCGACGTCCCGCAAATACCAAAGGCAGGTCTACGAAAACCATGAAAATTATGCCAAACAAGCCTCACTCATGAGAGGAGCAGGCAGACTTCATCTCAACGTTCGGCTCCATTCAGCCACAGAATACGATGAGTGGGCCAGTGGGCAATGCAGTGCACAAAGAATGGTCACAAGCCGAGGAACCTCCACCTACTACTGTAGATGGCATTAGCCGAAGAACTTGCACCAACTAGAGAGCGCCCTGGCAAAGATTGAGGTCCCACGAGCCGCACACGACCCAAACCGCTGCCGTGAATGAATGAGAACTCAGAGGAGTCGACTGGGTCAGGGTCGGCTTGTTTCCGTAAGGAAACCCTCATCTTCGCGGTTGGTTATCGAGGTATTCCGCAGGTAAGCGCTGCTCACTCACAAGAGCCCCCCTTCGGCGCTTTGCAATGGACCGCTCAGTCAGGTGGGATTCCGCAACCGATTTTCGTATTCGGGACTGGTACATGGACTACGCGATATCATGTCGACATATCTATTTCGCAATATTAACGATCATATCCTAATGAAAATCAACAATTATCTCCAGTTCAGGGATACATTCAGAAGCAGCTCGGGTAGCCCGGAGATCTGTCCCGCTGTCAGTATGCGCCTGTCCTTCTACTCGACTCTACCGCGGCGCCAACGATATCCAACACCAGCCTCGCAGATGACTGAATAAGGACCAAGACAACGTTTAACGTTCTTACACTTCATCGTATCTACACTACAGACAACTAGGTCGAGCCT